ATGGGTACAGTCGGTTCCACCAACGTGAAGGCGTGCTGCTTGGGAACCTTTACAAGGTAGTCGGTGTATCAGACGTCGCTCCTCCCCCCCCCTTCCGCCCCGCATTCTGGTAGCACTGCAGTTGCCGTCTCTTGACAGCTTATGTGTCACCCCTGCTCATTTGGCCTTCGTTAAGAGTCATTTCACTATAAACCACTATGTACGTTTCAGGATACCAGCAGCAAGGCTAACTAGGAACCTGGTCAATGATATCAATAACCAGCCGACCGGAAATGGTTGCTTCCATTCTTTCCGTATCCGTTTGTTGTACTAGACGTTCAAGCTTGCTCTTTAATTCTTCAATCTGTAGACATGACACCCATCAGCATGTGGCTGCTGGAAAACTATCACGTAATATGCAATTTTCCAATCTCATTTGAATTGGATCCGCAGTTGGCAGGACCGACAGTAACATGTATGCTTAGACAGATAAAGGGGACAAGAGTAACCAACTTAATCCGAGCAAGCACTGTATGCAACCACCATACAACCCTAAATCCTGCCGACAAAGCTGCAGAAACTAAATCAGCTTAAGAGTGTGCAGGGGCACGAAAAGTGTAACGAGGACTTACCGAAGAGTCCCTGAGCAGATGCATTGCTAGGTCTCCAAGTCGTTTCACCAGCGCCGAATTTTCGTCACCCTCTTTAAGGGCGGCCTCTCGCTCAAAAAGGACAAGCTCCAGGAGGGTCTCAACAACACTGGAGACGGCCTTTGTTGAATTAGGTTTCTTCAGATGAAAAAGGTAAAACAGTGTCAGTATTTTTAAGGCAACAGAAACTGGAGACTGCAAAGAGAGAACAGTCTGATAGTACCAGGGTAAGTGAAATATCCGTTCGGACTTTGGACTTCAGAGGCGCAACCTAGGCTCTCCGTGGAAAATGGCGGATTCGAAGCACAGAAATTGGTAATGGAAACCTCATTGATCGTTCACAAAGACGAATAGGAAAATAACGAGCAGAACGATATTTTGGAACATACAAAAAGACAGTTTTGGGATGTTGTGGTACGCCGGACGATGCAGAGAGTTAGGAGAATACTAGAGGGCATAGATAAATGGCAAGAAGCTTTTGGCAAGGGATGATTAGACCTGACCTCCGCCCTCTTCCTTCCCCTCAAGTACTTTCTACGTGACCGAAACAGAAACCGCTTCCCAGGAGACAGCTTTTCTGCGCCAACGCCGAACAGAGATGGATATCGATTCGGCAAGATCATGGTCGCGTCACCTGCTGAAGTTTGGGCGTCATTGGGGGGAAGGGAGGGGGTAAATATTGTGGACGAACACACATATGATTAAATTAACGCTAGGACACTTACAATCGGTTGTCTTTATGCAGACAAAGATCACCTAGATTATAGAGATGATGACTTAAATGTCCACTGTTCTCAAGAGACCGTTAGACGGTTTTAATAAAATAATTGCACGTTAATGAGCTATGCCAACGTTAAAATGCCTCCTAATGCGAAACGACTAATCGAACTAAACAGAAAAGCCAAAGACCAGCGACAGAACAGTAACCTAACGGCGAGCCAGTTCAGTTCGGTGAACGAGAACATGGCACAACACTGAATTCCCAAATGTCCCCCACAATACTACATTGGTGTGCTGTAGTCATAGTTGGATACGAAGATTAAGAGAGTATACGGCAAGCGGAGGAATACGTAGAAATGTAAAAGTGCCGAAATTCTGGCTCTACTGAATAAATCATACTTCGTCCACCTATCGTGGACATC